TACTTCTGATCCCTAATATAACACCTAATTAACTAATTTAGAGAGATTAAAAAATTTAAAAATTATTTAATTATAGCATATATTACATAATCATTCTAAAATACTAATGTACATCATTAGATTATATATTGGTTTATAAATTAGACAAATTAATTTAAAAAAATAATAATATAAATATTTTCAAGTATTTTTTAATTTTTTTAAATATTTAATTGGGTCTTATATTAAAAATTAGAGATAATATAACATAATTAACAGAAAATTAAAACAAATTATGTGATATACGTGACACAAAATCCCCCCGCACAAACTTGCATGTAATTGTATGTAGGCTGTGTGTTTGGCAAGCACCCCAAACCATGGTTTGGGAAAAATGTTAGCCAAACACCCTTAAAAAAATCAAAACCATGGTTTTGAGAAAATATAATTTTTTACTTTTGGAGGAAAAAGGGAGAGTGTGAGAGCCTATAGGATATGTATCTTATTGTTTTTTTATAAACATATTTTTTATAAATATATTTAATCTTATATCTTATAAATATATACATATTAATTATTTATTAATTTTATATCTTATATATTATTAATATATGTTAATAAAAATATATTATTAACAATTTTATTCCTTCAAATTAAAATATATCATAAAATATATTTTTTCTATAATTATCATATTAATTTATGCCAATTTGTATATATAAAAAGTACTTCTAATAAACTATCCAAACACTCACATTTCTCAAATCACTTTTTCACAAAATCTATTCTTCTCAAAATCTATTTTTTTCAGAATCTATTCTCCAGAAGCTATTCTCCAAACCATGGTTTGGTTTCATCCAAACACACCCTAAAGCATCTGGTGATAGTTCGAAGCTTAGGTGGCGGCGGTCAGGGATGTACTATGGATCGTTTCAGTCTGATACTTCTTTCAAGTCCGAGTCTGTGTTCTGATCCAGTTCTGCGATCCTCAGCAAATCATAATTTGCCACATTGTACTGCTCACTTCAGGCTTAATTAATTCAAAAACATTAACAAATATTTTAATATTAAATTCAAATTTTGTCGCGCGCGTGTTTAATGAGCATACACATAGCTGCGTACATTCTTCATCTAGAAACTCTTATCTAAACATGGGTAGGTTTAAAGATTAAATCATTAATTAAGCCACCAATGACACAAATTAGTTTAATATAATAAAAAGAAAAAAAAAAGAGAAAATCAAGCATCAATCTCTTATTAAAAAATTAATTGGTAAAATGATCCCGACAACTTTTTGTGTAACTATTTACTTTTCTTGTATGTAATTATCTTTCTTTAAACGTGCAATTTTTTTTTTTTTGCAATTTAATTTATCTTATGATCCATTTTCTCCTTTATGGTCAAATTAATCCCTTACATCCAAGTAATGTTTTGTGTAAATTATCTTCTCTTTATACAACTTAATTTTTTTATATACAACTTATCGCTTCTTATGTAATTTATTATTATAAGAATCATTTGTCAAATAATTTTTCATTGAAGAATTTATTATCAATTTTTTCAAAAAGAAAAAGGAATTGTCAAACCCACATAGCAGGCACAAAAAACTGAGACTACTGTCATTGATCTGAATAATATGTCCATACACAAACTCAACACCCAACTATTTACACCACAAAAAAATGACTTTCAGTGACAACTTTTAGCCGCGACACAAGATGTCACTGCTAAAAGTGTGACTTTTAGTGGTGACATTAATAGACGTCGCTGAAAATCTTACTTTTAACAGCAAACATAAATATCACTTTTAGAGTAGTCATTGAAGGTCAATTTTTAAAAATGAGACTTTTAGTGACGACTAACTATATCGCTGCTAAAAATATACTTTCAGCGGCTACCTAATGTTGCCACTAAAAAGGACTTTTACTGGCGACAGTTATTGTTACTGCTAAAAGAGGCTTCAACATGTCACCACTGAAAGCAAATGTCGTCGCTGAAAGTCACTTTCAACAGTGACACTTAATGTCACCGCAAGCAAAGTTTATTTTAACTTTTTATTATATTTTAAGTTTTTTATAAAATATCATATTTAGACAATATTTTGTTCATTAATATGATTTGCTATGACAAAATAAAGTATTTTCACATGTTGTTAAGTTAGAGAGAGAGAGAGAGGGTTAGAGAGATAATATGGTGTGTGTGAGAGTGAGAGAAGAAAGGAGGAAGGAATGAGTATGTATGAAAATGAGATATTATAATTATGTGTGTGGTAAGAGTTAAATAATCATGATAAAATTTATAATTAACTTTATTATTTTTATATCTATTTTCATATTTCATAATTATAAATATAAATATAAATATAAATAATTAGAAATAAAAAATATAAAAATATTTTATGAATTGTATTTTTTATACAAAATGGATATTATAAATAATATTTTAATCAAATAAAAAATTAAATATAAATATTTAATAATAGGATTATTATTTAACATTATTTACCTAATCAGGATTTTTAACAGCTTCATCATAAGAATATGGTTAAAAAATTGAGTCAACAAAGAAGAGATATATAACACATATAACTAGAGGAGATATTAGCATAACTAATATAATTCTCTATAAGGTATTTATACTTCAACTTCTTACCATGCGACTTACCTGAATCAAATGTAATTAGACTACATACATAATCCTTAGCCTATACTCGAGCCTTTTTTTTTTTTTAATAGAAGGAGATATATTAATCAAAAAAGAATATATACAGCGGGACCAAAAAAGACAAAAAGATTACAACTGAAAAGGAGGAGAGCAAGAGAAGGGTTTTAGGCTAACCCAAACCTAGGCTGCTATAGAATTCCTTGGCTCTCCGGGTATGATCACCCAGAGCTAGGACTCTATTTACAAGAGTAATAGCATGCACATTTTCGTTACAAAATAAGGTCCTATTTCTAGCATCCCAAAGTTTCCAGCAGAGGAGCCCAAAGATAATGCGCCAGGAATTCTTGCTGCGACTAACTGAAAGGTTTGCTTCAAACCACTCTTCTTGAGAGCAAGAGAAGAAGGTGCTTTGAGACTGGCTTGGGACGATTAGTTTCCAGCAAGAGGCAGCCCTTTCACAGGTACGCAGTACGTGAAGGATGTCCTCTGATTCTTCCCCCAGATCTCGCATACATCGGAGCCAGTCATATGTTGCCTAACACGTTCACAATTAGTGAGGAGTTTGATATGCATGGCTAGCCATAGGAAGGTACGTACTCGTTGAGGGCCCGGCCATTTCCATGCCATTTCCCATTTACTGTCCACATCATTCCATAAGTCCTGGGCAATCAAATTATATCCGGATTTGACACTGAAGAGACCATTGCTTTGCAGGGCCCAGGTACAATTATCTTGCGGCCCATTGATTGAAGGGGCTGGAAGCTCACCAATCTATTGTATGATAGAGGAAGGGGGTAACTATTGGAATGAAGCCCAATCCCATTCTCCATTCGGTGTGATATAGTGGCTGATGGGTCTCTGGAGTTCCTCATATGATAAGGGCTTTAAGGAGAGATTAAGCAAAGGCCCCAGGTCACCTATCCAGTGATCAGACCAAAAACGGATTTGGTTCCCATTACCTAAGCACCATTTTATGCCCAGTTGCATTTCCTCCCAAATACTTGCAACATTTTTCCACAGATGGGATCCCTTATTTATTTTACTGCAGTTAAGTGCCTTATTGGGCCAATCATATTTCACTCTCAGAACTTGGACCCAAAAGAGATCAAGCCTTGTTCTTAGGTTGTAGGCAATTTTCATAAGGAATGCTGAATTTTGATGCTCCAGATTCTTTAGACCACAGCCCCCGCAATCTTTCCGTTGACATATATCAATCCACTTAACTAGATGGATGCCTCTGTGCTGATCACTAGATCCCCAAATGAAATTCTGGATTAAGGATTGCAACCTATTGCAAGTGGTGCTAGGAAGGCGTGTTGATTGCATGGCGTAGTAGGGTATGGTTGACAAGACTGATTGAGCTAGAGTGATCCTTCCTGCTAACGAAAGCGACTTACTTTTCCAACCAGCTAGCTTTTTATGAATTCTGCTCTCTATATATCGGTAAGTGTCTTGAGTGATTCTGGCATGAATTAAGGGAACCCCCAAGTAAGTGCCTAGATTTGTTGTTCTTTGGAATCCCAGAGCCGAGTCGAGGGAGGCTGCTTGAGGAGGGGAAATATTCTTAGAATAGTAAGTGCGGGTTTTATGTTGGCTAACTTTCTGACCTGAGGAGGCACAAAAGGAAGCTAGGATGGAGTTAAGTATCTTTGCTTGTGCTGTGCTGGCTTCTCCAAAGAGAAGGAGGTCATCAGCGAAAAAGAGGTGCGAAAGGGGGGCCCTCTTCTACCTAGGCGAATAGGCTGCCATTTTTTATCTTCTACAGCTTTAGAGATAAGCTGGGAGAGTCTTTCCATGCAAAGGACAAAGATATAAGGGGAAAGTGGGTCGCCTTGTCTTATGCCCCGCTGGGGTGTGATAGTCTCTGATTGCTATCCATTCCAGAGGACCTGCATGGAGGTGGACGTGATGCATTTCATAATAATGGTGATAAGCCTATGGGGTAATCGGGCTTCTTTCAGGGTGTCTGCAACGAAGTCTCACCGAAGTCTATCAAAGGCTTTCTCTAAGTCCACTTTAATCGCCATCCATCCTTTTCTGCCAAACTTCTTTCCCATTGAGTGAATAGCTTCTTGGGCTATAATGATATTATCTGTGATATTCCTTCCCTTGATGAAGCTAGCTTGATACGGTGCTGTGAGAGTGGGCATAACTGGTGCTAACCGATTGGCTATGATCTTAGTGAGCAGTTTATAGATGGTTGTGCAAAGGTTGATTGGTCTAAACTCTTTTATGGATTGGGGGGAGCTCGTCTTGGGGATCAAGGTAATCAATGTACGGTTGAGTTGAGGGTTTATGTCTGTGCCTTCAAAGATGCTTTTAACCTCCTGAAATAATGAATCACCAACTATTCCCCTTTAAGATTGGAAGAAGATGGCGTGCAGTCCGTCCACTCCCGGCGATTTCAGAGGGGCCATGTCAAAAAGCGCTTTTTTAGTTTCCTCTTTTGAAATAGGGCCATCAAGCAGGATTGACAAAGAATCAATAAGTGGGGGAAACTGACCTGAACATGGGTAGGGCACAAATTGGCCGTCCTCAAGTGTATATAGTTGTTTGAAGTAGTTAGTCGCCATAGACTTCAGTTGGTGCTGATCAGATACCCATCTCCCATCATTGTCTTTTAGCATAGAGATTCTGTTTTGTCTGCGCCGAATTAACGCTTTGGTATGATAATAATGAGTATTCCTATCTCCATCACAGATCCACTGGCTACGGGATTTTTGGAGCCATAGGATCTCTTCCTGCATACAAACATTCTCGTAGTCATCCAGGAGTGCTCGCTCTATCTCGAGCAGGTAGGAGTTGAAGGGGTTCCTTTCAAGTGCCTTTTGGACACCATTAATTCTCCTGTGCAGAGTTCTTTTATTCCGACCTATAATTCCAAAAGTATTATGGTTCCAGTCTTGGACCACAAGAGTGAAGTGCTCAATGTTTTCAACTAGACTTCTCCCTTCAGTCCAGGTTAAGGTTACTAGGTCCTTGAAGTCCGGGTGTGAGATCCGCGGTGCAAAAAATCGGAATGGTGGCTTTGTGACTTGTTGTTCTCCCTTTAGTTGGATGAGGATAGGCCTATGATCGCTTTGGATCATTGGCAAATGCATGACTTCTGTATTGGGATGGGATTCTAGCCATTGCTGGTTGCATAAGGCCCGGTCTAATCTGACTAGTAGATTCCCTCTCTTCCAAGTATATTTTGGGCCTGTATAACCCAAGTCAAGGAGTCCAGCATGAGCAATAAAGCTCCTGAAGGCTTTGCTTCCTATTGGGTTTCGAGTGGCTCCACCTTTACGTTCATCGTTCGTGATAGTGGCATTATAGTCGCCTGCTAACAACCATGCATCCCTTCCACCTTGGAGTTTACCGAGCTCCTTCCAAAGATGCTCCCTAAGGGATGGATTGGGGCTCCCATAAATTGCTGTGAATAGGAATTTTGATGTACTTGCATCATCACAGACAAGAGTATGGATGAATTGTTTGTGATTTTGCAGGATCCTTACCTTAACTTTGCTAGACCAAAGGATCCAAATTCCTCCTGAAAAGCCCACTGCCTCCACTCTGTGGGAGTTGGGGTAACCAGTTTTCTTAATAACACAATTTGCTAAGATCCCCGAAATGCGAGGTTCCAATAGTGCTATAACTTCTGGCTTGAAACCTTTGAGAAGAGATTTCAGAACAATATGAAATTTTTTAGATGCTGCTCCCTGGCAGTTCCAAACAAGTATTGAGCAATTCATTCAGAGGAGTTGAATTAGCGCTCAATGGCTGAGCATTCGTTATTTGAGTCATCTTCAAAATCTGCTTCCGTGGCTTCTAGGAAAGCCATGTCGTCATCGGAGTGGATGGGAGCTCCCAAAGCTTCTGCTAATGCTTTGGTGAGTTCCTCTGAGGGCGTGCCTAATCCGTGTCTAGATTTCGCCTTCACGCTCTTAATCTTGAAGGTAGGTTGTACTTTGACTCCCCCTACTGATGGGCCTTTATCTGGGGGTTTAGGAAGGAGGTTTTCCTTACCCCTATGGACGGTGGTAGTGGGCTTTGGGGGGGAGGCTCATTTCCTTTGACTGGCACCAAAGTGGGCTGGAGTGATGCATTGGGGCTCATTATGGATATGGCTATGTGAGATGTTTCATCCAATGTCGTTGGGGCTTGTGCCTGTTGGTACGCAGGGGAATCGAAGATTGTTTCTTGTGCGATCTTTCTTGTTTCAAACTTCTTAGGGCTCAGTCATTTCTCCGACTTCCTTTATGATTCGTTGACCTACCCTCTCCTACCCTTCTTTGCCTTTTCTTTTCACCAACATTGGGCAGTGCAATTTCCTTGTCTCGGCTAACGTCACTGTCGTGGGTTACTTTCTAATCACTGTTTGCTATCTCCGAGGTGGCTAGGATATTGAACCTATTGCCTCCATTTACCCTATAGTGTGTGCTGCTGTCAGGGTTCCTTCGGCTGCCTCTGGTGTACCGGCCTCCTCGAGTAGGGGCTTTCATCCACTCACTAAACACTTTCTCTTCCCTCGTCTGAGTTTCACTCGCCCAGGTTTCTGCTACAGACAGCGGTGGTGCTGGCTTCGTAGGGCCCTCAGCCAAGGGGTTGGATGTTACCGGGGTTGTTCCTTGAGGTTGCACTTTCACCGGACATACAGAGTCTAGGTGCCCGTAGCGACCACAGTGATAGCAAATCGTGGGTAGTCCTTCATACTCGACATATTGCGTCATTCCATCGAGCTTGATCATAGAGACCAGAGGCTTGGTTAGATCGATCTTCACAGCAAGGCGAGCAAAACGTGCTTTCTCAAGGCCCTCCATGTTATAATCAATTTTAAGCACATTCCCAATCACTTCTCCAATGGCTCGTAGGATGCTTTTGTGGTAATAGTGGTAGGGAAGACCTGGAAGTCGTACCCATCCGTATACCTGCTTGATTTCCAGGTTCATTGGCGAGATCGTGGGCTCCCATGGATGCACCGCGATATAGTGCCCTGATATAACCCAAGGTCCACCAAGCATTGCGTGTTGATAATCTGCTTCGTTTTCAAAGTTAACCATGTAGCAGCCCTCTCCAGCTCAGTGAGTTTGAAGCTACCAGTTGGTTTCCACAGTGTGAGTATTTTCAGGTGGAGTGCATCCTGCCTGACATATCGGCCAAGGATCTTAACCACTACTGCAAATTTCATGCATTGGGCCATGATGTCTTTGACTCTTTGGGAGAAGGTTATTGATGGAATGACCCCCTCCATTGCTATTGACACATCTCCTTGCTCAATCGTAAGGTCATCAGTCATAAGGGGTGGGGTCCTCCCCCCAGAACTGGAGGGCCCTAAAAGCTTGTCTTTAAAGGAGGGTAAATGGGACTCCTGCCTTATATCATAGGCCTTGGTCACCGGTGAATCATCTTCCATTGCTGTACTTTTATCTTCCCCCTGTGCCTCTGGCAATCCCTCTTGATCGCCAGGAGGGTGCTTGGTCTCGCACTCATGGAACAGCTGTTTCTGTATACCATGGCATTCGGGACCTGTGTCAGCATTATCTTCAATTCCTTCTGTATCCATAGCCAAGGTTTCATTATCATTGTCTCTCAGCTTTACTTTTTTAGTGGTTCAGTTTTCCTCAGTGAGTGGAATACGCTGGCCCTTTTCTATTATCGTAATGTCAATCGATGTCTCCATTACGCAGGAAACAAAAATGGGGTATGTGTTCTTTTCTCCGTCGTAGTGGGCGACGGAGGTCTCTCAGGGAGGTTGGCTCCCGCCGCAGTGGGCGGTGAGAAAGGCTTGTATTCCAAGAAAGAGTTTCTCTCTCCAAATTCTCTCTCGCCTATACTCGAGCCTTTTGTTCTCAAACAGGTCTAGTTGTAGAGCCCTTGTAACATCCTAATTTTTATATGCCTAAAATTTAAGTAAATTTTTATTAAGATAAAATAGATAGAAGTTAAATATGTATGTAAGCAATTAAAATAAATAAAATCATATATATATATATATATTTGTGTATATAAACATATATATGAATAAATGAATAATATAACAATATTACAAAACCCCACATTGACTAAATGATGGGAAGATGGATAAGATAACAATGTTGAAAAGTCCCATATTGACTAAATGATGAGTAGATGGAGCTCTTGGGGGCTATATATAGGTGGTAGTACAGAAGAATTAAGAGTAAGTAAAATAATTTTCACACAAAACTGAGATAGTCTCAATAAAGTGTTGTTTACGAGTTTATGTACTGTTGGATTGGGTTATAATTTCGTTAGCCAGTCCTTGACTTCATACTCATCGATTTCAATGGTTAGATCATCAATATGATCTCTGAGGTAGGAGTTATTAAGTACACTTTGAAGTCATTTTTTTAGATTTTGCAGATAGAACCCTAAATAGTAAATTATCATTTTTTTTATATTTTCACTGTTGGATCAAGTTACAATTTGGAAGATTGATTTATAACATCTAAGATGTTAAATTCGATGGTGGAAAATTAGACTCCTTTGATAAGAATAACTTAACTCATATATATTAAATCTGTTTATCTAAGATTTTCAAGGATAGAATATAAGCTATGAATTACGGGTTCTCTATCTAGGTTATGAATTTAGTGATTCTAATGATATAATTTAATAACTAAAAGGTAATATAGGTTAAGGGAACCTAGAAATTGAATTTAAATCCATATATATATATATATATATATATGTTATTACCTCAAACCTTAGAAAAAGCCTTTCGAGATAGAATTTTGAGTAATAGTTGAAGGTCTTAGAAGGAGATTTAAAGGCTAAAAATTTGCGAGTAGTTTACTCTAATATGGTAGAGGTAATGTTTTAGTTTTATTTGTAGACATAGATACTACTATAGTATTTTTTTTAGTATAGGCCTTGTTTGTATTTGATTGTTAACTAAGAGCCCAAATAACTAAATTATATCTGTTGCATGCTCTGGTATAAGGTTAGTGAGTGGTTTTGTAACCAATTGTTATATACATATATTATGTTTTGTATGAATTGTCTTGTGGTATGCTACTTTGAAAATGGTTGAAATCGTTTGTGTTAATAGAAATTAATGATTATGACTAAGAGGTATTATTTTAGAATTCAGTTGATTATACATATAAATGTGTTATTGTGAATCCTATGCATCTGGTTTGGGTGAGGGAAGGAGACAATTGGAGTATGCAGATATATACATGTCACGTGATATTGGCCTCTATACGGAGCTCTATAGTTAGCCACTGTTACTGTCCCACTAGTTTTTTGAGGGATTGCGACACCCCACTAGTTCTTCGAGGATTTGAGTGCTCTTGGTCTTTGGTCGGTCCATATCACTCATGTGGTGAGCTTGTGAAAGTAGCCAGTCAAATGAAAAAAACTTAGCCCATGGGTCCTGTCAATAGAAATAAAGAGGATATAAGGGTGGATTTGGGTTCATGGATTATATATGACATTGAATCTTGATTGATATTTATATCTTTTGAATAGATGAAAAGTATTTCTCTCTTATGAAATTATGAGCGGCATGAGACTAGTAGAAATATTTGACTTATATGGTCATTGTGAGTTTAAATGTTAAATAAATGTCTATTAACTATTATTAACTCTGTGTATCTGACCTGACACCTCACTAGCCTATGCTAGTGTATGTGTGATAGGTAGGAATTTAGCTACTGAGACGTTGTTTCATCCATATAGTAAGTTAATTTACTATTAGCATAGGTTAGTTATAAGAAATAAAACTATTTCTTGAAGTTACTCTGTAAAGTTAAATTTGTCGGTTTAGTTAGGGAGGTTGTTTCAGCCCTCATTGGCTCTCACTTCTTGCTATACATTTGGAGAGGTATCTCCTTCATTATTATCTTCAAAATTTTCATCAACCATGTGGTCTGGTTCATGTGCACCTGTCAGCAGAATCAACGAGAGGTGAGTCATAAAAATAGAATATATCCCTCAAGTGTTGGCCCTCTCCCCCTTAATCTTTACCCATGCATGCTAGCTCTACAGAAAAACTTACTTTTCCTAAAAGTCACATGTCTAGAAGTGAAAAATTATTTTCTCTTTCATATCATATAAGATGTACCTTTTTTTTTATTAGGGTATCCAAGAAAGATGCAAGATGTGGATCTAGGTTTCAATTTATTCTTAATATTCAAATCTGTGGCAAAAGCCAAAGAACAAAAAATTTTCAAATTTATATATATTAGGAACCTTACCATAAACTATCTCAAGGGGTTTTATCCCAAAATTCTAAAAGGTATTCTATTCACCAAATAAGTAGCCATTTTAACACATTTACCCTAAAATCTAACAGGAACATTTGATTGAATCATTAAACTTCTTGAAATTTGCATTAAAGTTCTAAGCTTCCTTTCCACAATTTCATTTTTCTTAGGAGTGTAAGGACAACTAGTTTCATGTATTATTCCTTTTTTGCCAAAATAATTTTTCAGATCATGATTTACAAATTTTGTTCCATTATCACTTCTTACCCTTTTAACATAAACAAAAAATTGGTTCAGTATATATGCTAGAAAGTTCTTGATATGATGAGAAAAATCCAAGTGGCCCTTAAGAGGTCATCAACAATGGTAAGAAATTAATGGTAACCTTGACATATAAGTGTCTAATAAGGTCCCTACATATCTATATGTAACAGTGCAAAGCAAAATTTTGATTTAATACAAGTAGGAAAGAAGGAAAGTTTGGTTTAGATTGAGCACAAATCTCACAGTCCTCTCATGTACAAAATTCAGATGCTTTATCATAGATAAAGTAGCATGTCCTAATCTCTTATGTAACAACCAAACATCAAGAGTATCATATGATTTGTTCCTCTTACAAGCAACATTCACAACATCATGTTTCGGCTTAAAAATTGAAATGTAAAAGCCACTAATCAATATGCCAGTCACTTTCATCTTCCTATCCTAAAGGCCTTATGTGAAACAATTGTTAGGGAGAAAGCACACATGCAAAGAAGTTTCCTTGTTATTCTAGACATCGAGATTAAATTAAATTGCAATTGGGGAGCATACAAGACATCTTCAAGATAAAAGTCATCAATAAATTTGACATTTCTTATATGTGTGGCTACAACTTTATCACCATTTGGTATCTTAATTGTTTTAGTTGGTACCTTATATTCTATAAAATTATCCAACAATCATAAATCACTTACTAAATGGGTAGTAGCCCACAGGTCAATAACCCATCTAACACGCATATTTAAAAAGGAGGAAGATTTAGTCAAACCTATACCAGTTAATGCATGTATTGCTGTTTCTAAGTCTTTCTTGAGTAGCTCCAAGAGGTGTTTATACTATTCAGGTGTCAGAGAGGTAGTCACAGTGTTGGCTAAGTGTGCACTTGAATCATTCTCATGGACTATATTCATTCCAGCTTGATTGGTTGTTTCCTTTGAAATCTAGGAGGTAGTCGATTTTTTGATAACAATTTTCTTTCACATGCCTTTTCTTGTAGCAATGTGAGCACTCTAATAGGGTTCCACCTCATATCTTTCTTCTACCACAGTCCCTACCTTGTGCAATCATGGCAATCCCTTCAATTAGGGTATTCAGATTTTAGTTAGTGATAGTTTTCTGAGACTTATTTTGACATATCATAGCATATGCTTGATTTGCAATAGGTAGAGGACGTATCAAGAGGATTTGGCTTTACGCTTGGCTATAGGTATCATTAAGACCCATTAAGAACTATAATAGCTTATATTGCTAGATCACATCAGCATAAATCTTGGAGGTTTCACACTTGCAAGAGGGAATTGGAACCAACGACAATTGCTCTTCCCAAAGTTCTTTCAATCTTGTGAAGTAACTTGATACAGAAAGAGTTCATTGACGTGGTAGCATAGGAGAAAGAAGAGGTGGTGAGATGGTGGCCATTGATGATGTGGCAGCTTACAATGATAGACACACGACAATGA